GGAATGTACTAAAAAAGTCATCGAATAAATCAAAGCGACGCGTGGATGATGCGGAGATAAATAGAGGGAATGATCATAATTTGGGTATACTAACAACTCAACTATTAAATACATTTATACATTTATAGTTAGAGTTTAACTTGGGAATAAAAAAATCATAGTTTCGGCGGATCTTCTACGCCAGAGGATGCGACGACTTATCAACAAAGCCTCGCAGAGAAAATTCGAGCTATCCGATTTTACCGACACTGCAAAACTTAAAAGTCTCGAAATTGGTGATGGGCATCGACAAGACCTTCTCGCCTTGATTAGAAAAATAGGCTCCTCGAATCTAAACATTTCGACCCGAGAAGCACTCAAGGAGCAATATTCGCCTGAATTGTCGCACAAAATTTTTGGAGTTTTGACCCATTACAGGTGTATTCAGAAGTACGGGAAATCTATACTCCAAAAAAATACAAGTAATTTTAGCTCAAGAATAATTATATACTAAATTGATCCTTGCTGGTTGATACCTAAATGTCAATTTGCAGAGCTGCACGTGGAATCCTGTACAATATTGGAACCATTCGTGGAAGCACCAAGCTCATCGCATACGGACTCTCAAATTTATACGGGAACAACAATGACATGGGAGCCCTCAGTTGGTAAGCACAATGAATTAATATCTTTGATTAACCATCCATTACCTAACGTTTCGTTGATATTTAGATAGTGTAAATAATTCAACGACGAGGTCAACCAGTCCAGAACTCGTACTGCCAAATCCTTCAGAATTCGGTGAGTAAATTTGCACGTAAGGAAGCAACAATATATTCTTATTAATTTTATTTGATTTTCAGAAACATCAACACCAAAAATGAAACTAAGGGATCGTCCCAGAAGGAAAATCATTTTCACGCCGACAACTAACAATCCATTGAAAACAAGCTTTAGAGCCCCTGAAACGCATTACAAATTTTGCATTTGTAAAGAAAGTAGGGGTGGACCCATGGTAAAATGTTGCGCCATTCCAAAATGCACAAATGGACTTTGGTTTCATTATGAAGTACCTGACAGCCCGAGGCCAGCATGTGTGACTGTGTGTGACGAAGATAGACTGAGTGGAACAAAATGGTTTTGCCCAGGTTGCATTAGTAATGGTACGTCCTAGAGTTCTAACTCAATAGTGCTTGCAATAATTAAACTTAAATTTTTCCAGGTATCAATTCGATTCCGAGTTTCAAGAAAACGTCACCCCTTCCCAGTGGTTTAATCATGAAAGGTATGAATGTGACTTCGCCACGTAACAATGCATTTAATCATTTAATTGCAAACCAAAACAGTAAATATTTGAACTCTTGTTATAGATATTGAATTGCCCGACGAAATAATCCACGATAGCAGTGATATTCCGATGCGCACAGGGCATGAAAACGACGGTATATCTCTTATCCTTATATGCATGCATACATATACCATTATTTATATCCCCAGTCAACTTATTTACATATGTATACATGGGGTACTTTCGCGATATTAGTTCAACAAGGAAAAAAATGGTAGCTGTTGATTGAATAATAGCCAGGCTCAAATAGTAGCCGAGTCTCTCGTCATAATTTTATAAATAATTACTTTGCCAAAACATTACCACTGGTTCGATTTGAGTTTTCAGCTTATATTTTTGCGGAAGTGTGTCAAAATACATATGCTAATGAACTGACTGGATATAATATACATGGAGTGATAGAAATTTTGCTAAAATCATAATTATTGGCATAGATATAACAGAGGATGAATCCCACACTCGTGATCAGTTTGACCAGGTCGCAGAAGATGCTCCTCTCTTAACAAAAGGATCTGAAGTGTTCACCATCGATGATGTCATCGAAATTGAAGGCCTATCCCCGCAAATAAAAGATTATCAGAGACCGGACTCAATTACCATTCGAATTCCGTACAAAGATTTTGCGGACAAATGGGATTTCGAACTATTACGACCGAAACCTCTATCCAACTGGGCTACACTAGTCGACCAATAACTTGCAAAGCTTGACTTCCCATGCTCTTTCCACGTAAAAGATTCAAAAATCAATTCAATTAGGGTAGAAAATCGACTACGTATGTCCCCAAGATCAAGGCAATGAAGAAAGGCAAGTCCTTGAGAGGAATTGCATTCCAAGAAAGCAAGTTTGATGCTGAACAAGAGAATTGTTCGTCTAGTAGCGAGATTAACATATCCGGTCCCGCCAAAATTGCAGCTAGCATTCAAACATATACTATCGATGATGATGGCGTTTTCGAGCGGTACTTGGGTGAAACTCATAGGGAAATGAAGCTCGACTCTAACGACTGGGCCGTGTCGACGAAAAAACGTTTGGAATTATTCAAAACCCCTTTATACTCAATAGGTACATATATTTAAATATTAGTTGCACACTTCCTATAACCTATAAAAAATAATATAATGTCGCTATGTTCCACAGGCAACGAGGAGGAATTACTTTGTCTAAATCCAGGGGCCTTGGTTAATGATGCCGTTGCCAACGCAATTGCAACTCAGATTTTCGAAAACTCCAACTATGCAAATGACCGAAAATTCAAATTAATTTTAAGTAATTTTATCGAGCATACGCCAAAAGGAATATTTGTAGCCCGGATGAGCATACTTCCCGACAAATCTTCATTCGACAAGGAATATGGCACCATTTTTATGCTCGGATTTACCAACACTCCCAAGCACTGTTTTCTAACTTCAATTCATTTCGACACACAAACAGTTTTGATGTATGACTCACTCCCAGAAGTGGTCGATAAGGTTAAAAAACGTGCATTTTTTGATGCCCTTGTAACTGCTCTGAACTCACATTTCGAGTTGATAGAGCCGTTTTGGACATTAGAATCGTGCACTTGCCCTCCTCAACTTCCCAACAGTAACGATTGTGCGATCATGGCATTAGGTTTTCTAAAAGTACTGGTAACCGCTAAGGCAGAATTAACCGACGTTAATCAAGATGGGTGTCTAGGTTATCGACAAGAATATGTAGGGCAATTATTAAGATCAACAGCCAATGGAAGGACCTTCTTTTTAAACTGTAATAGTGACCCCATGCTCGCCCTTCGTCGTATTGAAATTCGTCATCAGGAACGGGAAAAGTTAGCGTATATACATAAAAAGATAGAGCAACTGGCACGTCTTAAAGTTGAATGTTTTGATGAAAAGAATGAAAGTCTTGGCGATGAAATAATCAGTTTAACCCTTGTCATTAAATCTAAAATTGAAAGATATACACAGAACTTTTGTAAGCAGTCAAGTAAATTTTTCTCAGAATAATGTGCTCAATGTTTGAATACAAACCTGTAGAATAAGATTGCTAATACATAATCTAATAACAATTTTGACTTAAATCAACCAGAAAATATTTGTACAGTTTTGTAAGTTGTCTTAATCGGAACAAATGAATATAGGTACATACATACAATATTTGCTCCTTGTCTTCTATGATTAATTACGATTTTTATAAAATTATAACAAAAAACTTAAGCTATATTCCCTTTCCAATTTTTATTATTTATTCAATTCTTGGCAAATTACATTATAGACAAATAATTAGTGCTGCTAAGTTGACCGATAAAAATCTGTGCGACGTTTTCAGTATACTTGTAATCACTACTCCAAATTATTAGTATATCATAAGTAATACTTAATTCTCCTTAATTATATAAAATTAATAATTGGCTGCAGTTAAATGAATGAATATTTTATAAGTAATCGAAGATATGAATGTAAATAAAAGAACACCAGTTCTATAATAAGATGCATCATATTTAAAATGTAGTTCTCACTTATTTTAGTATCAAGTCATAGACACATGTTTTGCGATGCATATCCTATGTGCAAATCTCATCTGCAAATTTCGAAATACGGACGATGTTCACCAAACCATTTCATTCACTTGCATTATTAATTACAGGCAAACACACAATTACGCATAACCGCAGGAGAACATAAATTTATGGACATATTCAAATAAAAGCACAACTTTACACAAATAAATATTCTCACATCGACAAAACAGCTTACATCATATGCCATATTCGCAAACGCTTACATACATACATAAACCCATGATAGCAATCCCGCAGACACGGGTTCACATACTTCCCCGAATTTCAACGAACTGGGAGAACTTCCTTGACCCTAAAAGATGGAGGATGCCACAAGTCCAAGCGAAACCATAGGAAACAACAAATTTTCCGACGCTTTTTAGATATCCTACCCAACGTATATAAAGGAACATACTTGCATATCTAAAAAACGTTGGATTTCACCCGGAATTCTTTTCGGATAACTTACCGGCGAAGAAGCACCAGAAACATACTTTTTATAGCCCATGACCGTGACTGCAAAATATAGCCAGAGATCAAAAGCTCAAGCGAGCAATTAAAATCCGAAATTCTGGTTTCGTATGGTAAAAATGGAAAAGTCGGAGTTTACCCGAATTTTTCGTTCTTATCTGAGTGGTGCATGAGTAACCGCGGTATACGTTGGGTAGCACAGGTCAAGGCTACAAAATAAGAATATTCCGAGCCAAAAGCCTTGCCCGTTTTCGAGCAATTAAAATCCGAAATTCGGGTTTCGTATGGTAAAAATGGAAAAGTCGGAGTTTACCCGAATTTTTCGTTCTTATCTGAGTGGTGCATGAGTAACCGCAGTATACGTTGGGTAGCGCAGGGTCATGGCTACAAAATAAGTGTATTCCGAGCCCAAAACCCTGCCCGTTTTCGAGCAATTAAAATCCGAAATTCGGGTTTCTTGTTCTTGCAACTTATGGAAAAGTCGGAGTTTACCCGAATTTTTCGTTCTTATCTGAGTGGTGCATGAGTAACCGGAGTATACGTTGGGTAGCACAGGGTCATAGCTACGAAATAAGGGTATTCCGATCCCAAAACCCTCTCCCGTTTTTGAGCAATTAAAATCCGAAATTCGGGTTTCGTATGGTAAAAATGGAAAAGTCGGAGTTTACCCGAATTTTTCGTTCTTATCTGAGTGGTGCATGAGTAACCGCGGTATACGTTGGGTAGCACAGGGTCATGCCTACAAAATAAGGGTATTCCGAGCCAAAAGCCTTGCCCGTTTTCGAGCAATTAAAATCCGAAATTTGGGTTTCTTGTTTTTGCAACTTATGGAAAAGTCGGAGTTTACCCGAATTTTTCGTTCTTATCTGAGTGGTGCATGAGTAACCGCAGTATACGTTGGGTAGCACAGGGTCATGGCTACAAAATAAGGGTATTCCGAGCCCAAAACCCTTTCCCATTTTCGTGCAATCAAAATCCGAAATACGGTTTTCTTATGATACAAGTCATGTGTTTTCGTTAAAAATTGAGTATTTCATTCGATTTTGTATGCTTAAACCATAGGGTTGCTACGTTGATTAAATCAAAAATTTAGTTTAATTTTTTAATAAACTGGCAGCTTGCTTGTTGCTTTAGTATTGGTGTGAGTGCAGTTCTTGTATGACAAAAGTAGTGTGTATGTAAATACTAGGCAAAGTTGAAATAATAGTAATAATTACATTTGTATATGCACGTGCGTATGTGCATATTGAGCTGTGGTTTCGTCCTGGCTTCACTAGTTGAATATCGTGTTCTAGAACCGAGAAAGTATTGATTACGTGTTCATAACACTTAATTGGCTCGATAATAGCCAAATGAGACCGAATCTCAAATTACCCCTTAAAATGGGGCGGGAAGGCAACAAGTTTGAATTTCAACAGTTCTGGAGCTATGGGGAGCGAATCTCACGTTGCCCCAAATTGGCGGGATTTATGGGCGGTAAGGCCAAGTTTTCGGATAAATTCGGCTTAGTCGGCTAACTTCATCCAAACAAAAAAAAAAAAGGAGAGGCCAACTTCACACTAATCCGACAGCCCCCATGTCATCTGCTTGGATCACTTCGACCTCGTTGGGCTGGATCTTGACGGCGCAGATGGCCTTGAAGACGGCGCTGTGGCCGGACAACATGACCCTGTGCGCCTTCACGATGGTGCCCTCCTTCGTCCGAAACCTGACATCCGTACCGATATCGCCCTCCAACATAGCGAGAGATTCCGTCTTGTGGGACGACTTCCAACTTGCCACGCCCGGAGTGACGAATTTCAACGGATCATACAACGTGAACACCAGTTTCACGGTGATGGATCGGTCGGGGATTTGGTAGATAACGTAATCCGCCGGAAGTGCGTTGGATTAAAGCCGGGTCGCGGTCGAGTAGGAGCCCGGTGCTTGTTTTAGGTAACGTTGGAAAGTACCAATCACTGGATTATCTTTACACGCAGAGGTGAACCGGAATCTCGGAAATCCTGGAAATATAAGGACACTCTTAAGAATAATGATACCCTTTCGAAATATAAATACATACACTTTGAACTTGATATTATGTAAATTATACTAAATAAATCCAGAGTAATGCTAGCGTACGATTAGACTTATCACCTAAATCGTCCAACGCAACGTATTTTTAATCATTTCTGGAAATTCGTTTTCAAATTTTGGACGAAACATGTCCTTAGTAAGTTGGTAAAAAGAGTTTTTTAAACTAGTTCCAATTTTGCTAAGGATTTCCTAAACTTGAGATTGTCTCCTGCAAAAAGTGTCAGAATCTGCACTCCAAATTCTGGAATTTGCATTTTTTATATAAATTGGCCGTCCACAAATTTCAAGCTAAAGCCGAGAAATCATTAAAAATGTGCAGATTTTGACGATTTTTGCGAAGAGTCAACCTACATTAACTTGATAAATAAATAAATTCGCGCTGGATTTAACTAAACACATAATTAGTAGCACAATTAAATTTCAAAAATCCACTCACGCTACTCCCAGCCCTTGTCGTAATTCTTTGCCTGAAGGGACACCTCGACGCCGGCGAGACCAAGAGGAGATCCGTCGTGCTGGACCAATGCGAAGCACAAGTTGACCCTTCCTTGACCAAAATTGGGCCGAGTGGGATTCACACTGAAGAATATCCGCCATTTGGACATCTTGTTTATTGTCCGATTACGCCCAGCCCGGAAGAAAAGTTGGCATGTCGCCAAGTCCGACTGTTCACTGGCGGTCATCAACGTGCGCTTATCCACGGTCCAAGAGAACTCGTATCGGTCGATGATCACGTTCTGGAATTGAGATAATTAAGTAATTAATTAATTTTAATGGAAATAATTAATTATGTAAATTTATAAATGAACTCACGTCGCGCAGAGAAGGCGGAGGCGCGGTCAACGCGGCGATTTCCATGATTTCCATGGCTCAGATCGTCGTAAATTTTTATATTTTAAAATCTGGAAAACAAAAAAAATAAGAAATTAGTTTTACAATGACAAATGAAGGATGAAGGAGAAAACGAAAATTTATGCAATTTTGTTTCGTAAAATACAAATTTCATCAATAAATGCGACCTATTTAATATGTGGGAGTTAATGCTAAATATAAATGTATTCAATTATTAATCGGCATTTAAATTGAATTTTTAATTACAAATTAATTGGAACCTGCCAAACGTTCGAAACTCAACGAAATAAAACGTGATGGACGGCGAGGAGCAGCAGCAGCTGAGGTAGGAAAAGCGCACGCACACCGTGTTTTTTAATTTATGCACTTGTCTCATTTGGGGAAAGTGAAATCGTCTCATAATTGGCGAATGTATTTATGAGTGTGCAAATTTTTTTGCAAATTATCAATTTCAAGCTGAATTAAGCTATTATATAAGTAAGATTTTTCAATATTTTTGAATTGGTGAAAAAAACGATATTTTTATAATCTATTTATGTATTTTATCCAGCAAAATCAGGTTTTAATCGGTTTGTTGTCTCATTTTCCCCTTTTTCTACTTTTGGAAGAAAGTGAAAGCCGTTGTTACTAATTTATATTAAGGTGCACTTGTATGCAGGTTTTGAATTTAAATATTCCTGTCTCAACTTCCCCGTCTTCCACATTTACATAAATTACTTATGAATTAAAATCAAAAATGCAAACTAAATCGCTTTGTAAATTAGATAATTTATTTTGACTCAAGGTTTACAACTTATGTACTTTCACGCTAAACTTTGAGATATTTTTATTTAGGATCAATTTGTATTAAATTTATCTGAAAAATTTCAAAATCTTAAATATGTATTACACTTTTTGATCATGGTACGCTTGTCCAAGCCCAATTCGCTGGGCCAAATCTTCCCCTCGTAACTCAATGACAAACGCGTACACGATCCAGATGCAGTACGCGTTGAAGATAAGACCAGCACCTCCGATAAGGTTGGCAACGTTGTCCACATTTAAGACGGTCAATCCCGCAAGAAAGAGAATGATTGCAGACAACATAAAGACGGCTTGGACAACAAGCCAAACCCAACATTTTCCAAGGGTTCGCTATTCAAATTAGTTGAAATGTAATTATGCATTGATGGACAAGTTTTTTTAAATTGTGTCCTTAACCTCATTTTGACCAAATTCGTCATATGACGTACCATGACCACTGTTGCTTTAAGGACAAAGTACATTATATACAGGGTGGTTTAAATGTCAGGTTACAATGGAAAATTTTTCAATGAGAAAAATTCGCAAATTTCCATTAGTTACTGATTTGGGATTGAGATTTTTATCAAAACTTATGGAAAATTGATGACTAAATTCATCAAAATATTGAATTTCAGAGGCAGAATTTCAGTAACTAATGGAGATTTGCGAATTTTTCCCATTGAAAAATTTTCCATTGTAACCTGACATTTACACCACCCTGTATATCATGTATTAAAAAATGCAGATTTTCCGGAACTATATACAACTTTGTGGAAAACTTGATTAAAAACTTGAGTAAAACTTGAGTAAAAAGTTGAGTAAAAAATATCTCTTCAAAATTTTTTGAATTTTGGAAATACCGGGTAACGTTAAAAACCGGATGATTTTTTAGCTTTTCGAAAAAAAGTCGAACTAATAAAGTATCTAGTGTAAATAAATATTCGTGTTTTATATTTAGAAAATCATGGCAATTGAATTAGTTTAAATAAAATCAATCTAGTACTTCAGGAAGATTTTCTAACTTTATGGTTACAATGAGGTTAATCAAACAGTTTGATTTAAACTATTTGGGCACCTTGGACGCTCCATTGTACAAATTGATGGACAAGATCAAGGTGACAATTTCCTCTAAAATGATGAAAACGATGGCAGCAGGTTGAACTTTCGTAATTGGAGGGACGAGCACGATAGCAGAGCCGAACGCGAGCATGAAAACGTCATCGAGGAGTGAAATCGAGGCCTTAATCTGACCAAGTTTATTATTTACAAATTTAGAGAAATTTATGCATTCAAATTGAAATTTTTGTCTTACAATTTGTAGTATTGCGACGACTTTCGTCCAGTTTTCCAGCGAACCACAGCAGCATGGAGGGCACCCCATTTTTATTTTAAACTTATTCAGTAAAGTTGTACCCAGTGGACATTTCGAGACTCGAAAACCCTGCGACTGTAGCGAATTCACCACGACCTATGTAATCTCGAAAAATCACTGCTCTTTCTCTGAACGATTAGTTCTGAATTCGTTAAGATTTCGCGACTACGCGAATTTTGCTCGACGTTCGCTAATAATTCGATCCTCGATATTCTCTGTATATTCGATGAAACGAATAAGTAAGTGAATTATCTACGAATTCACAGCGAAATACTTGATCTTGAAATATAAGTGTAAAAGAAGCAGCGAAAGGGCAGAGAAATCTCAGAGATTAAGTTAAAGCTGAGAGGTCGATGAGAAATCGACTGGAATTCTTTGGGATAAATTAATGTGTGATCTCTTATACTGATAAATTTAGTTTGCAGCTGATGATGGGTAGATCAACATCGCATGAGGAATATTTGTTAAGTAAGAGGTCAAAACGCCGTCATATTTCAAAAAGGGCAAGACTTTTAGTTTCCAGATCCAAGGAAATTATTGCAAACTTGAGTAAAAAAAATGTAGTGCTTCCGTCTAACGATATTTTGGAGGACAGCGAACATTTAGCATCCATAAATAATACAGCAACTTTTAATTGCGATAACAATTCGCACGTAAATATAATTGTGCCTGCTAACATATTTCGAGATATAAATTTTGAAACTAAAAGTGAAACGGAATGTGACAATTTCGAATTCAGTTCTAAGTTACAAAAGTGGGGCGCATCAAATAACATAACTAAGACGGCTTTATCAGGACTTTTACAGATTTTAAAAACTCACAAGTGCTTCTCCGAGTTTCCAAAGGACTCTCGAACGTTGCTACACACTCCAGTGTCAACTCCAACCACCCGTATTGGCAGTGGATCATTTCATTATTTCGGAATTACTAAACACTTGTCAAACATTCTTGGACAGCTTCCTAAAAATGATCAAGTGGTCAGACTCCAGTTTAACATAGATGGGCTACCATTATTTAAAAGTAGTAGCACCCAATTTTGGCCAATTTTATGTTGGGCGATAAAAACTAAAAGTGTCTTTCCAGTGGCTATATTTTGTGGTGATCAGAAGCCACAAGATTTAGACGAATACTTGAAACAATTTGTGATAGAGGTGGGAGATCTGGTAAAGACTGGCATTTATTATAACTGCAAACTATATGAAGTAAAAATACAAAACTTTGTTTGTGATGCTCCAGCACGAGCTTTTATTTGTAATATTAAAAACCACACAGGTTATTATGGATGTGGTAAATGTGACATAAAAGGAAAATATATCAATCATCGTGTAGTGTTCCCTAAAATATTCACCAATCTTCGTAGTGACGTGTCCTTTCGATCACTTGCCCAGGAAAAGCATCATAACGGGTCAACGCCACTTGCAGATCTACCAGTGGATATGGTCCAAGATTTCGTTTATGAATATATGCATTTAATTTGTCTCGGCGTTACCAAAAAGTTGCTTAAATTGTGGGTAGAGGGGAAAAGATTTGGATACCGCTTGAGACCAAAAAGCATTCACGCCATCTCAAAAGCTTTGGAGGAAGTTAAATCTGGATTTCCAATAGAATTTGTCCGAAAGTATCGTTCGTTTTTGCTATATTCCGGTCCCGTGGTTCTGATTGACCATCTAGAAGAGAAGTATTACCATCATTTTTTGGTACTTTCATTCGCCACTCGACTACTTTTATCTCCAGTACCTACTCCTGCAAATATTGACTATGCCGAAAATCTTTTGAAATATTTTGTACAAGAATTTAAAACCTTATACGGAGTAGAAAATGTTTCCTACAATGTGCACGGCCTACTGCATATCTCTGCAGATGTCAGAAAGCACGGAAATTTAGAGCAATTCAGTGCTTTTCGATTTGAAAGTTATTTGGGGAAATTGAAACGATTACTTAAGGGAGCGCAAAATCCAATACAGCAGATTCACAGGCGGCTGGCTGAGTTGGATAGTGCAGGTATCGAGTGTGACAAAAATATTCCCTCCATTCCTTTTTCAGGCCAAATAAAACGTGCAACAATTAATTCAACTGTTATTTGTATATCATTTCCAAATAACATTCTGCTCTTAAAAACTGGCCAAATATTGGTTGTCAAAGAAATACATAGTGATAGTGATAAAATTTCTTTCAGTGGAAATTTAATTAAACATTCTACCAGTGCATTCAATCATCCATGTGACTCGACTCTTCTCCACATATTTAAAGTGAATTTAAATAAAAAATCAAAGGAGTTTTGTACATTCATGGAAACTGAAATTGACTCGAAGTGTGTTCCTATAAAAACAGTGTCCCACAAATCTATTCTCTTTCCATTAATACATTCCAGTGAGGGCGAGTAATGGATAATAAAAATTTCGCGATCGTCCACTTCCACGTCGACAATAGTGTGGAAGTCGTACCAAGGAAATGGACGATAGAGACTGATTTGGGTCAATCCAGCTACTATCCTCCTACCACCAAAGGGCTCAAGAAAAGTGTTAAGCGAGCAGAAGATCCAGATGTTGAGTGGCCTATTTATGATGTCACAATTAAGAAGTGGTTTGGTAATGTTTATTTTTGCACCTTTTTATTTTTATGTTGTATCTGTATAGTGTACTTAAATACAAGTCTCCTTATAGAATTGTTATGCACTACATAATATTGCAAAGCTAATTTTATTATAAATTTTTGAACTTTGTAGTGACCTACGACCAGGCCATGAGTGGATTGCCTGACGCATTGCAACTAACGGACACTGATGCGTCCAGAAAAAAGAAAACAGAAAAGCGGATAAGTCTTCCTTGTCATCCTCAACAAACTACACTAAATAATTGCAGCGGGGAATCAAGTCACTCAGACAATTCTGTGAAACGAAGAAAATTGGTGTTGGTGGAGTCCACTGAATCTGCTGAAGAACAGGGAGGCAGTAATGAAGCAACTTATTTATTCCAAAGCACTGTTGACGGCCCTCAAGAAATTTCGGCATCCATCATAAATAGTAAGATTTAATAGCACTTCCTATTTTCATTACAAAGTTGCTCAAACATTATTCTATTTTGTAGATAATCTCGCCACTATTATTATTCAGCTGGAGCAAATTAAAATGACACAGAATGAGCATGGACAAATGTTAAACAAAATTTTTGCGCAAGGAAATATACAAATAGGACCAACTAATGCAAATCAATTTCAATTTCCTCCTGGATTTTTTCCAGTCAAGTCTGTCGAACAGCTCCAAGAATTAAATAACATGTTATTAACTAATGAAGCTGCAAAATTAAAATTGGTACTTTATTTTTACCTATGATTTTTACTTATTGCGGTAATTTATTGTGTCATTTAATTTTCAGATAGAAAGTTTGGCCGGATGTGGAGGAAGCATCATAAACACCGCTCTGAAGTTGATGTTGAAATATCTCTGTATTGATGATATTCTCGATAAACATAGCTATAAAGGCAGGAGTGGAAAAATTCCTTGTACGAATTATGGGGATCTGGTCGGTGCTATGCACGGTAATTAAAACGTGATAGTGTTTTAACTAGATCTGTAAGCATGAAAGATTGTGATGCTTATTTCAAATATTTTATGAAATTTCCAGCTGGTTTGTTGAAGAACGAGTTAACAAGGCCAGTGGGGACTCAAGAAGCAATGGATATAGCACTTCCAGCAGAACTAAAGAAGGCTGCAGACAGAATTTATAAGTTAAAGTAAGTTATCTCAAAATATATAAATATTCTGAACTTAATTCTGTACTTCAACAAAATATTGTATATTAATTCTTGTTTATTTTATTGTAGAAAGAAACCCAAAACTTCCAATCCTGGTGAAGAGGACAGCAATCAATAATTCAATAATTAAAATATAATCTTTAACAATCCAATTGTTATCAACTACGTAGATTTGTTTTTAATAAATTATTTTTTGAACATCAGCAAACCGAATTAGTGTCGAATTTAGAGCGAATTTCGTGCATAAAGATCGCCACGAATTCTTAGTCCGGTAGTAGCGAATTCTTAGTAAAGCAGCAACGAATTCTTAACTTAGTAGCAGCGATTTCTCAGCACACCAGCGATTACGCACTTGAACCGCAGAGGATTCTCAGTTCGTACGCAGCGATTTCGCCGCTCCCAGGTAGTTGTGAATCGCTGGGTTTTCGCGTGGTTTCGGCGGCCAAATAGCTGTGTTTTCGAGCAAGAGTCGAAGTCGAATCGCAGCGAGTCGTTGAGATCGGCTCGCAACGAATTCTCTCAGATTCGCTGTAATTTTGTTGACTGGGTACCCACTCAATATGTTAATAAATTTATAAGCGACTCAATTTTTCCTTTAAAAACCTAATCTAAATATAATACATATATACATATGTACGATATCATGCATATTACGTGGCCACGAAAGCTGGTGGGACATGGGGGGAAATTAGCATTGTATTATAGGGGAGAGATTTGTGAGATTTGTGAGATTTTCACAAATCTCTCACAAATATATCATACATACAATAAGGGCAGATATAACCCTGGGTACATTGTACCTCGGTCCATACTTCCACGGCCACTGAACGCATTCATATAATTTGAATAGGATTTATATACTGCATGCTGCACGCCATCATTTGTGTAATACGTACATACATTTCACAAAAAATTCCCCGTTTTGGTCAGGGTCAAATACACATACATGAACAAATTTACACATTTATGTGTGTAGGTACACTGACAAGGGAACATACCGAGGTGTCCAACGAGTTAAGGGTCGACACCTATACCAAAATGACCACAATACATGACTTATTAAACAAACTGAAGGAATTTCCGTGTAAAATTCACTTTTCGTCAACTTGTGACGATATTTGTGACGAGCGCATGACCGTCGGGTTGCCAGCTGGAGAGGTCAGCCGCTGAACGATCAGGTCGACCACAGAGAAGCGTCGTCGTATATAAATATGGAATGCCTATATTTTTCAAGGCTTTGAATGAATAAATATTTTTTGAACATATATGGAGCTCAAAGCATGTTAAAAGGGTTGTAGGTCGAATTGCATAATTTTTTAGGGATAATGCAATATGGTATAATTTTGTTTGGCATAAAACAAATTGGTATAATGGTATATAAGGGATAATTAAAAAAGGAATAATTATACGAAAATCAAAATCAAATGTTAAATTAAATTTTACACAGTCATGTAGTTATGAAAGCATTTTCCAATATCCTTGAGATAGTCGAAAGTGTCAAGATCAGTGTTGTACGGTTCTACAATCAAGAGGAGTCGCTTATCCAGGTCCCTGTGAATTTTACGCTGTGGCTCGACTTGTCCAAATTTCAAGTTTAGATTTCCAAATTCCAATGGCTTTCCACATAGATTTATGCGTAAATGCCAACCTTCCACGGCATTGTGCGTGCAAATATAGTACTCTGTCATTCTTGCAGTTGTTTTTTTGGTACAAGTAGCGTTTTCAGTGGACATTGTTGTGAATGTGGGTGTGGAGTGCAATTCGAGTGATTGTAGAATGCAAGGAAAGAAGGAATGGAATTAATTTTGGTCCCTTTAAAGCTTAAAATATAATTATCGCTAATAGAATTATCCCTGAGTTTCATTATACCAAATGGTTCCCTTAAATTATACCAACAATATTATACCAAATCAAATTATACCAAATTGTCGTTATACCAAAAAAATTATGCAATTCGACCGCACACCGTTAAAAGAGGCCAAAGTTTGTATTTCTCCGTCCCACAGAGACTTTTACTGTGCAATACATAAATACATATTGTGCGTTTTCTATCTCAAGGCCCGATTTTTGCCACCTGCCCATCATATTTACACTAGACTAATATGGGAGGCGGTCTGGAACCATTGTAGCGAAATGGGCCAACTTAAGTCAAATGCACAATACAATTCAACAGATGTTATCCTTCTCAGAATCGCTCATTAATTTATGATAATCCTTTAAGTTAGGGTGTTTAATTTTATTAGTTTAATTCCAGCGAATTTGACGCAAATCTGATTAAGTTTTATTATTTTGACGCACTATATATTTCCACACGCTGCTTTTTACTGGGCCATTCCAATTATTTCATTTCAACGAAGATTCCATCATCGAGAAGTCATCAAAATCTAGTTTAAAATAATGCATTTTGCATAATTCAACATGCATCGGTAAGTTGGTGTTAGCTATTATTTAATACAAATCAAAGCAACGCATGTTACACATATTTATTTAGCACACGATTTACGTAATGCCCTCCTTGTTTCCAGATCACTTCGAGTTTTTTTCCTTCTGGTCGCACTGGTCATGATGTGCTCATTTTTACAGGATTGTAGTGCTCATCCAAAACTTGAAAGCGAAATTTTGGCTCAGGCGGGAAGACTGTGCTGGCCATGTGATTTTGTGAGTAATTAAATATATTTTCCCTCGTATTAATTTTTGAACAAAAATAAATTCTGCATAGGATTGTCGCCCTTCAAATCTTTGTTGTTGCCAGGCTCCATAATTTAAAAAAATGCGGTATCCCAGCCAATTGATTTTGGATAATTACGTACATAAATACCTACATACATATCTAATAATTGTACACAATATCTTTATTTAGGTGAGTAAAGAATAAGCTACATAAATACTTGAGGTTATGGTGTCTATGTTTTTTTGTACCAGCATTTTTCTTTATAATTCATAATGTATGTCTGATTAAGATAATGATTAAGTTCCTATATATAATTTGGGCGTAAACTTGTAACAATTAGTCACAACAGTAATGGGTTTATTTTGTATCATTTATATCATTTATATCATTTATTTTATATCGTTTTAAAATCTACACAATTTTTTACTAGGCCAAATTTTTAGAAATTGGTGTTAATCTGGGTAATGTGCAAATACTTAGGTACACAGGTAAAAGTGGAGGCGTTACGATTTAAATATTATTGAAATGCCTATGTATGTACCTATAGGCGCCAAAATGTAAAGATGGTGTGATTTACGTATAGAAAGCTTATAAAGATGTTAAGCAAGAGTACATGATTCTACTTTGTGATCGTAAACACAGCGGGAACCTCAACATTGGTCAACAATTTAGTAGAAGTCAAACACAGAATAATGGTATTCCTCAACATTTACCCAAAAAACCCATGGTAAAGAAAGTTGTTTTCCAAAAGAATAATTATTAAAAAATGTTCACTAAAATTTGCTCACACATATATGAAAATATGAAAGTATCAACCCGAAAAGTATCCAGAATTACAATTCTCCAACATACAGAATATTCTTGCTCCTCCAAAAATGCATGCATAGATTGCGATGATGACTTTAAATTTTTATAATCATTCTTCTGAATTATTTCCCGCTTCTATTCTTTGTTCTAAGAATTTCACCTAAAAACAACATTCCACCTAGAACTATTAACCCTGCCCAAATTATAAATACTGTTTGAATGCTTTCACCCAATTTAACTGCGTTAATTCCAAACGTAATTTCGCCTTCCTGAAGCATCTTCCGTTTGGTTAGTCTTGTATTGTTTAACTGCTGCTTCATTTCAGTAATAGCCAGGAACTCATTCAATTTTTCATCAATTCCAGATTCCAATAGCGCCACAAAACTTTTAACTACGGGTGAACCACGCGTAGTTTCAAAGCCCCACCCGACTAATTGCCCAATGATCGAAGTTTGTTTTGAAATGTAGTTAAATTTTACCCAAGGGTAACTTTTCGTATAATATTTTAAATGCGCCATCAGATCTGTCTTTTCTGCAACCAAGACAGATTTTCCGCATGTCAAGATTTCTTCTTCTATTGCTGAGATGATGTCTGTAGCGGGCAAAGAGTTTCCAGCTGAAAAAAATGTTTGTTAAGTCCTTCATGCTCCGAATTGTAAATCTGGAGAAATATGAAAATCTACTTATTTATTGTGCAAGCAACCAATTTCTTGCCATCATCGTTTTCGTAGACTCTCGGATAAAACCTTTTTTTCGTATCCATCATGCAGTACAGGACTTTCATAACCCACCCCCGATTTTCACCAAATGTTTGAAAAAAACTATGAAAGATTTGTACTAACGCATAATGATTTACATCCTTCGGAGTAAAGTATAAGCTGATGGCTGGCGGCGAAAGCAGACTGAAACCGTTTGGTGGGAGTTTGAAGCTTGTAACCTGTCTTGTGTAAGGATACCATAGAAAATTGCTGTATCGTGGCACCATCACGTACCTGTCCATAGATTGATTTCTCACGTGATCTGGATCTTTACCAGTGCAAGAAATTGTGGCGAATTCATTTGGAATTTGAGTTGGTAGGGGGGAATTTAAATTTGTAATTGCTAGTCCGATATAGCACTGGAGAAGAATTGTAGAACAGATAGCCCACACGCCCGTGTTTATTTGGAACGGGATCGATTCTGCTAGGACTGAAGGAACTGGTGTATATTGACCGAGATTCTCGGTCAATTTCGGTCATTCTTGGTCCGAGAATGGACCCGGTGTAGAAGAAGTATAGGTTAAACCTTAATTTTTAAAAATTCAAAAAGTTTTGCAAAATAAATCAAATGCGCCGATACTGTAGCCCCATTTTATACTATATTTTCTTGACATACCTGTCAATCCCAAAAATAACCCAGGCATAAATTCCAGTTAGAACGGAAATCATGACAAATCCTACCAGGATCCCGATCCAAACCAGAGTTTGAAAAGGAGCCAAGTAAATCCAAAAGCTTACTTGTT